AAAAAAAAAAAAAAAAAAACTCGGACAGTCGCAGTTAGCGTCGATGATATCGGAATACGACACCCGAGGACAAAGAATAATTCACGCTTTGAAGATATCTTCGGCTTTGTAGTGATAAATCGAGGATGTTAGTGATAGACGAAATCAATGTGACAGCAACCAACGAAGGAGAAGTATACGGATAATCATGTTGGAAGGACTATCGGTGATAGTATTCCGTCGGGAGTGCGAAAATATCTTGCCGCGTGCGAGGCCTGGTAGTCGGTGGTGAGATATCGACCGTAGCTGCCGAATTAATCGTCGAAGGTCGCAGAGCACTGCCTCGCTTCGCTGTCCTTCGCTTCGCATCGGATGATCCGACAATCTCGAAATCTGTGATCCGCACGAAGGACAAGTCCGATGACCGACAATCATGGTCAGACGTAGATCCTTGAGCGATACCTGTCAGCCTACCGATCGCGCAAAATCACAAAGTACCTTGTTTTCCCAGTTCAAGCTCTCTCTACCTGCTGATGCCCGTGACGGTATAGAGCAAACAATCTAATGGCGATTTCTATAAAAGCGTTACATGCATTTATCAGCAGTCGTCGCAACTGTTTGGCAATAAATACAGCTTGTGTATAAAAGGTGGAGGATGAAATTGTCCTCGTGCGTCTAACTCAAGCCTGTTCAAACATATTCGTCATAATTGGCAACCAGAAAACCAGTTGCCAAGTCATGTAACGTGCTTCGTGGAACCTGCAATTGTTAAAATCGATCGTTACAATCATTATAATCGTTAAAATCGATTTCCGCGTTAACACGAAATTGTTATATTTATAAACAATCGTTCGCTACCGATTGTTCGAAGTAAGCTATTGTTCAAGTTTCTCGTGTTTTGGCAATAGTGTTTGCACTTAAATTATCCAGTCGGTCGGACAGATCGAACTCGCGCCGGGTCTAAGGACTTCGACCGCTACGCTCCCTCACTGTTTCGAGGCTGCGCGTGAAGGAAACGCGTGGTTGAATCGAAGCGACCCTCTCCGAACGAGACCTACTGACCTATCGACTCGGCGGGCTGCCACTCGAGGCCGCCCCAACTATCCCTGTTTCATATTTTTCTCCCTGATGTTTATTGTTGTTACTCCTTTCTTCCTAACCCAGCCTGCAGTTCGATTTTTCCTATTTTTTAACACACCAAAAAAGTTAATCACTTTATTCATGAGTACACAAATTTTCCTTTAAATGCTCTAAATAAAAGAGATCAACTTCAAAAGTTTCCAATAGTACACAGCGATATTAAACGGTTTTCCAAAATCCGTCTTTTTTTATTTTTTATTGCGTTTTATCAAATTACTTTTGCATCGTGTTTTGAAACTGACGAATCAAATAGATTATATCTCACGAAGATGAATCGAAACAAATATTTATTTGTTGAAAAATCAATCAAAGACAGATATGTCAAGATTGAGATCAAAATTCTATCGGACGTCGATGCATTATATCAATGTGTTGTAAAACTGTGACGTAAGAACCGTTAATAACGAACATGATAAAATAAACAACAATATCCGATAAAATAAACAACAATATCCGATAAAATACAAGCAACAAAATTGAGAAGCACGAAAGATTAAGAAGAGCAAAAATAGTACGAAACGTTCACGCTTTAAGAGAAAAAGAAGCTTAAAAGAGTTCATTTTTTTAAATATTCAAATGATGGTTCCGGTGATTATAAGAAGATGCAAATAAATCTATATTGAACCGCAATAAACACGTGAATATTTACATATGGACAAGCATATAATGGGATAGAAATCTAAACCAAGTACTCGAGTGATCTCGAAATCGACTGTAGATTGTACGAACAATTCGTCTCGTTGCTGGCCTCGGCGCAACGCAACGACAACGACGCTGTCTTCGGCAGTAACATCAAACGTAGAAATGCCATAGTTCGTATTAAAGTACTTTTGCTGGAAGCAAACACACACATTCGCGTGAAAAATGGCTGAAAGCGCGGCGAGTCCAGGCACCGTACACGTCGCTGCGAACAGTCCGCAGCAACAGCAACAACCGCAACAGCAACAATCGCAACAGCCTCAGCAGCAGCAACAGCAGACGCAACAGCCTCCGGATATAAGCAGTTCACAGCTGACTTCTCCGCCAATTACGGGAACAGGTATGGGCGTGAATACAGAAAATTGTTTGAGATTTTCTTTGAGCCTGATGTCAACTTTATTTCTTATTATCGCTAAGTCATGAAATGCCATGAAACGGATAATCATTTAATTTTATTTTTACTTTAATTTAGAAACAACACTAATTGCAAAAAAAAACGACAATACTTGTACTTGACACATCAAGTACTTTGTGAGAAAATATCTCGGCCATTGTTTACATACAACTCCTCCCTATAATTAGCAAGCAAATCTTATGTATTTAGATCTGTCTTTCGAAATCATTTATAGCGAGTAACGGCAATCGGGTCCATGATCTCGCTCGCGTAACCGCGTAATCGCGTTGGCGTAACGCCGGGCCATTACTCCACCAGCACGCGAATCGTACGGCGAGACGAAGCGGCTCGTGATGCGCCGGTACTTGCCCGGGAGACGAGGGACGGTGTCGGCGGCGGCAGCGGTGGCGGCGACGGAGAAAGGGGCAGCGCGCAATGGGCGAGAAAGAGAGAGCGTGAGTCGCGTTAGCGGATCTGTCGGTCGAGTAACGGAACGCCGGCGAGTACCGCTAGCACCGGCTCTGACGCGGTTACCGGACACCGTTACTTCTCCGATGCACGAGTAGCCCCCACGTGCCACCTCTCTCTCTCTCTCTCTCTCTCGTCATCCTCGTCGCGCTCGCTAGAGCGCCCTCACGAGTGAGAAGAGGGCACACACGACGAACACGAATATTAGTAAAGAGAAAGGTGGGAAAATTCGATGTAATTATGCGAGAATGCATAATTAAACTCAATCTTGCTATTTTAATATTATTTGACATTAACACCTCTTTGTCACAGCATTTTAGGACATTTAAATTTATACGTATAAAGAATTAGATAGAATGGAATAAACTTTCTCTCTGTCAACACTAACTGAACTTGTACAGTTCTCACAAAAATATTATTCGAAAAATTAATAACGTTGATACGTATATTTGTCTAAAAACAAACTGACTGTTGTTATTTCAAATTTGATTTGTTTGTTATATCAAATTACAGCAGACAAATAGTGCTGAGTCCTTTTTCTATAAATATTATCAAAGTATGTAGATTCTTGAATATTTAAAACTTAAAATAAACAAGCTATTGTTTTTTCTTCTTCTAAAATTTGCATTAATAAATAAAACCAGTTATATTATAAAAACATAAAATAAGAAGATTGTACACAAACTATTTTTTTAATTTTCTTTATATTTGTTATTAGTAGAGTATTTTATTGAGTCTTTCTCTCCACTTTCAATTGTTATTAATTATAAAGATGTTGATAGATTTTTTCTTATATATAATTAATATACATTAATCAGATCTATGTTTAACAATATTACAAAATATTACAGAATATAGTCCAGATCTCTACAAATATAAAATATATAAATGAAAACATCGTGTGCAATCACACTTAAAATGTTAATACTAATACATATGTTGATACTCGTGTTAGATGTGTAAACAAAATGTCCGACTGTCAGATATTTGAAGATTATTAACAGTTTCTCGACAACGTTATTTGAGAATTAAATTTATGATATTTACCGCTATGTTTCACATCCGGGATCGTTTACTGTGCCTGCAGAATGTTGATATAAATAATGATCAGTCGTGAGGTTAATTTTAAAATATAAATAACGAGATGTATTGCAGCATTATATCAATAATCGCTAACCCATAGTTCTTATATGACGCACTAGTACGTCAATAGTCGGCATTGATTTTGTATGACGTAGCGATACGTCAATGCTCGGTAACACATAGATTTTGCATGGCACAGAGATAATTCCGTAAACCATCTCAACGCCATTAAGCGGTTGTTAAACTTGTTTCTCCTCCTATTTATATTATAGATCTAGAAACATGTGTGTGGTTAGTCAAATTACAGTTAATATTAACTGACATTTCTATAGAGAATTATCTTTTATCTAACAACGATTTGAGAATGATCAAAATGCAAAGAAAATTATTTATCGTTCACGTAATCAATAATTAAACACCAATAATCAAATGCGTCCACATCTGCCATCTGGCTAACAGGTATCGTTAACTGAGATCGACAAATCAGAAATGGTGGAGGAGGAGAGCAAACATCATCGTGTTGCGATCGCGAAGCGACATTTATATTTATGATAAAAGCTTGTCAACGCATCATTTAGCTATGACGAGTTAATTTAAAAGGTGTTACATTGGTAGAGCGTGAATACCGGTTATCCAGTAAGTAATTCTTCCCGACAGTTACGACGATTACGACAAGATTCGCGCTACCGCGTGTCGCGCGTTAGAAGCGCCGTTTTGATCACGCCGCGCGCGCACACCGCGTAAAATTACGCGTAACGGAAAAGGCAAGCTGCGAGAAAACGTGATCGCGTGCGCGTCCCGTGGGTCTAGAGGTTAGGAGGTCAGGCTCCTTGTCGTTTTACCGTTCATGTCCGGGAGAACTCCCCGTTGCATTCCCCGACGGTATTACTATTATCGTTATTATTGTTAGCCTCTCTTATTGCGTTACATCAACCAAGCCCATTAATGTAATTGATCGCGAAAATAATGTGATTTAAATCTGACAATAACAACACAATTCTTTATTATTGTGCAGATTTTTTATCATTCTTTATCATTTGACACGTTCATTATTACAAATCTCTTTATATGCTTAATATTATTATTAGTATCCCCAAAATATAGTTTTTCTTTTCTTTTTTTTAGTCGCAAGTGTTGCACACTTTTTACATTTTTTTTTAATACAGATTTTTTTATATGTGTAATGCAGCATGTGTGTATGATTGTTAGGAAATATGAAAATTTGCAAGAAAAATCCAAATTTTTATTTTTTCGAAGAAAAAATACTTTGAAATAGCAGTTCTCCAGTTTTCAGTTTTAGCAACAATCGTTTCTTTAATATTAGCTGTCAGACAAAAGAGTCAAACATTTTGTTGAAAAAATGGAACAGTTTGAAGCAAAAGAAAATAAGCATCAAGCTTGGACTTCCCGGATAGTTTGAACGTAAACAATGGTCAATCTATAATGTCAATTTTTGAATATCTGAAGATTCAAATAACAAAGGAAATTGGAGCAAAAATAGTATGCATTGAGAACAAAAACAGCTTTTTGTTTTTGCCTAACTTTATACTGATGTCAATATTTATATTTTTCTTACTGCACATTTGCTAAAATTGATTTGTAAAATATTAAATCTTAAACTTAAAATTAATGCGAACAGTTCGAATTGTTCGAACACATCTTTAATTTCGAATTATGCACAGTTCTCGAAATTTGGATTGTTCTAAATGCTTGACCACGTATAAATTTTCGAGCAGTTAGTTTCTATGCTTAAAATGAAATTATCATTATTTATGTTTTAATCATAACATGTGTGTATTATGTTTTAATTATAACATAAATGGTAAAATTTAGATACTGAGATAAATTTAGATAGTGAGAGATTTTTACTCCTTTGTAATATCAAATGATTTTAATTCGGGACAGTCGTGTATGTCAATCTAGCATGCTGTTGCAAGCAAGATTTGTATCGATAACGAGCTTACTTGGAGCTTTACGCAGCGATAGTATGTCCGACAGCGAAGCCCCGCATTGCACAAATCGTATACGACTATGTCTTGGCCTTTTCATCTGATTGTGAATAAAATCAGTGTGAGGGTCATTTTTTGACAGCCTTATAAGTATGTATTGTTTATTATTACCACAGAAAAATTTATTATTACCTCGTTTTATTTCACTTTTATTTGAATAGTATTTTGATTAAATTTGTAGCTAAGATAAGTCCAAAAGTTCCAAGAGAAATTCTAACTTTTCTAACTTTTCAGTAAATAAAAAAAGATGTAAAATTAATTTAATTAATAAATAATATTACATTTTTTTAAAACTCTTTTCTTATAATATATTAAAACAATGTGGATGAAATTTAATAGTCAAAGAATTTTGTAGCAAATATTTTTCAATTTTATATCACACATAGAAAATAGGTACTTTTTCTTAGTTCATTCTTAATCACACTGATAGACATTTCTTAAATTTTATAAATATTCTTCTAAATATCAGTTTTTTAAATCTGTTACCTTGCTAAACGTCAAAATGCTCATTGCCACAAGTGCATCGCGATCGTATGACTCTTCGTTCAGCCCTCTTCGATTCCTAAGTCACAGATCGCATGCTCGTCGCTCCGCTTGTCCTTTTTCTTCCCGATGTTCGACGGCTATCCCTGTTCGCGTGCACATACGCGCATAGCGCACGCGACAACAGTAGGCCAAAAGTTCACTGACCGGCAGCCTTGCAAGGCCGATCGCTTCGGCCTAACCCGACGTGATTCGAGTTGACTAACAGCGCTAAAACGGACTAACCGCGCACTCGATCCTCA